GCAAGCCGCGAGATTATGGCCGGCACGTTCACGAAAAGTTGGCGCAGCTTTTGCCAGACAGCGATGCTGCGAAGGCTGCGAAAGAGCTGAAGATGCTGGCGATGGCGGCTTTGGAGAACACTCCTAGGATGCTACCTCTAAGTTCTTGAGAAGCTCGTGTGGGTTCGAGGCCCAGTTCCATTCGAAAAGCGCGACATCGCCCCTGCAGGGGAAGCGTGCGCATTGCCATTCTGAAGTAAAATTTGCACACTATAGTACCAAGATGTTGCAAGGGTGTTGCAGGGTATTGTTCGACTTTACTCGCAATGAACATTATATTTATTATGTGAGAAATCATTGGCCCATATTGACAACCATTGAGATGTTGTTCCCCACATGGACATTGGATTTTTGTTTTTAGTGCGGTATCCGCTCCTGCTCCTCCTCCTCCCTCCTTCTCCTCCTCTTCCTCCTCCTCCCTCCAGCTTTCCACCAACAAACTGTCACCAACAAACTGCCATCAACCATCATCAACCAACAAACTTCCACCCAGAAACTGCCACCAATTGCCAGGAACCAACTGCCACCAACAAGCTGCCACCAAGCAATTGCCACCCAGAAACTGCCACCAACCAATTGCCAGCAACAAACTGCCACCAACCAATTGTCACCAATTTTCCATTATTTTCCATTCCTGGCAGCTTTAGGAGACCTCACCATGCCAGCTGCTGTGATTCACCATGGCGGCGGCCCCAAACGCGAAACCTCCAAAAAATCATGAACGAATACAGTAGTCAGTTTTGTTTAAGATGCATGCAGAGTCCAAAGGATGTTTTACGATGTTTTACGCATTGACCAGTCCTTTGTTTCTTCAGATTGCATCACCATCACAGGGCTCAACAAGGAAAAACCCACCTGACGAGTCTTCCCATGCTTCGGGAAGTCAAGCCAGGGCCCTGTGGACGGAGAGGCCAGACACGTCAGAGTCCAGCATGTGATTTTGTTCTGTTCGGACAGAAACTGGGCAGAGAGGCCACCGGCCGTCGTTTTGTTTCGCGGATGCTCAACATGTGTCGGTCAGAAGGTCTGGGGAGCGTGTGATAGTGTGTGGACAGTGATCAATCTCCTGATGAGAGGTTTATTCATGTTTGATCGAGAGGAAATCTCGAAATCATTTCCGAAAAACGCGATCTTTCCCCTCTGAGGAGGGATTCCCAAGATGAAGTCTCTCCTGAGGAGAAATACCTGATTAAAATATATTCAACTTCTCCGTGAGGAGGAGACTTGATCAGGAAGTACGAGAAGAAGGAAGGATGATGTGTGTTGTTTTGTCTGTTTTTTCGATCTGGGGGTTGACCAAATGATTGTTTTTTGGGGCTTATGAATAGAGGTTTTATTACCTTTTGGAGAGCTGGAAATAACACTTCTTGGATTTGGCGGTGGTTGATTCCTTGCCCGCCCCACAATCGCTGAGGATGGAATTTCCTTTCTGAGTGAAGCATTTGTGAACGAGATTTGATGGGACTGGCCTAAGGGTAGAACATGGTAGAACAAACATCAACAAACAGAACATTCCCTATACACATGGAGGGTCTCGCCCATTTTTTCAACATGTTGAGCGATAGTGAGTTCTTGTTTTCTTGAATTACATCTTGACATCTTGTAAGTCATTTGGTTCCAGAGATGCCAGACCGTGCTGAGAGGTGCCAGGTCCTGCCATGTTTTCAGGCAGTAGGAGCAATGAAGACTTTGTTAGATTGGCGACTTCGCTGACCGTTCGTCCCGTGTTGCTGCGCAGCCCAGGTCGCGTCCCGCGATAGTGACTGACCCTGGCTTTGGTAGCTTCGGCAAAAAGATGTGACGCCACTAGAAGTTCGGGGATTTGGACAGAAGATCAGAGGAATGTAATTATAGGATAATATTAGGTGTCTAGATTTGATGGTGGCACCAATTTCAATAGATCCAATTTAGAAAAAAACAAATTTCAGGGGCCATTTGGCCAAACGTTCTGGGTGAGGCAGGGGCCATTTGGGTGAGGCAGGGGCCATTTGGGGGAGGCAGGGGGCCATTTGGCCATGGTTGAGGCTAAACAATTGAAAATTTATTTTTCATACGTCATGAACATATAAATGAAAAAATCATTTTCCCAGGGGGGTAGGTCCCCCCCTTAAAACGGTAGTGATGTTTAGGCTATATAAGGCCTTTCTAATTATGGCTTTTGGTGGTGAACATTGGGGGAGTGGATTGTGGAGAAGTCACTTGTGAGCAGACTTATAGCAAAATGTATCCAAATAGGCGTGTTTCCTCTGAAATAAGCACCCCAATAATATGCCGCCCCAAGAGTCCCTCGAGTGGAAGGATGAAATAGGATGAATGCCAAAATTAGGAACTCACTGAATCACCTGAGCAAAAGGTAAAGAAACCTTTCAACCAAGCAATGTGATGCAATTGTTTGCCTTTGAGATCCTTTACAAGTCAAGAGAGATAGCTTCAAGGCGTGGATCAAGGTGTGGGCCAAATCTCCTACACCCTCCAGAGGTTCTCAGAACCCTACAGGTTCCTATCCCATCTATAGTTACCCCAGCGCGGTTAAGAACCCCAGCGCTACAGGTGTTCTTCTATAAGAACCCTACAGGTTCTGTTCCTTTTTCACGTTAATTACCTCACCTCTCTTGGCTCCAGGTGTTGCAGCCCTCCCCGACGCTTCGTCCGCCGTGTCGCGGGTGCGCTTCTTGCGGCTCGGGACAAGCACACCGCGCAAACGTCCGCCGGGAGAACTGGAAGCGACCGGGAATGACACTTGATTTCGTAAAAAAGAAATCCGTCAATTGAATGGACAAGACGCTTCATATGCGGGGTTTTATCAATCAAACATCGTTTTTATGGGGTTGACGTCCCCAAAAGACCTTCCGTCAAAGTCAAAATCCTGCAAACATGTTCATGCTGGTGGGGCGTGAGGATTTCTGGAAGTGAACCTTTCTTCTGGAATCAAGCGGGTCGAGGGTCAGCTTCCATTATGAATGATAGGCAGACGGATCGATTTACCAGTCGGAATGCCATCTTGACCTCGCCTTCTACCAATCAGGAGTCGAATGTATCCAACATCCGACAATTATGGAGTAGGAAACCCAGGTTTGGATCTAACCCATGACGCATGACACCTTTTGGTCAGAGTCCTGGGTGGTTGCTTCCGACTGCTGGTTTCGTGCCAAGATCTTGCATAGGCCTACCTCCTATGTCTAAATGATTGAAGCGATCATGTTCATGAACTGTGTTTTCTATCAAGCACTTGGATGTGGCTTGGGTCTCATAGTCAGTGGTCACGCATAATGGATGAAGCCTCTTGAACCCAATTTGATCCCAAAACAGGTTCTCTCACAATAAAATACCTCCCCAATGAACAGCTGGTAAAAGAGAAACTCTATATGCCGCATGTTATGCCGTTAGTTATCCTTTGTTCAAAAGGTGAAGCAGCAGTCCACATATGTCGCAATCGTGAAACTGCTTTGTTCATTTGTGAATGTCTTTGTCATGTCAGAAGAGTTTGTAGTGTGGTACAGCCACATTTTTTCTGGGCTCTCTTCACAATTAGAGCCGCAGGAAGCAGCTTTATTCTTTCGAATGATGAGTCTGTCGAGTGCTGAAACATCAGGGTGTTCCTGGCTCAGTGCCCTAGCTCCAGTGCCTTAGGATTTATCCTGAACCTGGAGGATGTTTGCCTGCCCATGTCGACCTGCCACATGGCGAGCCGAGAGCCAAACGAAAGCGCTCGAACCGCTACGAAGCCACGTGTTGGGAAGTCACATTGGGATCCTGCTCGTGCTTTATAAGGCGAACCGCTTTTTCTCTTGCCCAGAACCTGCAAGAAGAACGATTTTGGTGACCAAGACCCCAGTGACCAACGATTTGGTTTGTTTGAGGCAAGAAGGGCAAGAATCTGTTCACACTCCCAGTTTGTTGTCAAGGTTGGATCTCACAGATCTGGGAATCGGATACCCCGAACTCAAGATTGTTTTGGAAGTATTCCTAAGGGTCTCTCAGGTACTAATACAGGACCTACTACAGGATTAGGATGATTTAGGACCCAACTGGGCACCTTGGTTGCTCAGTTGCAAATTGCAAGTGGGTTGGTAAGCTTAAGACCAGAGATGGTCCACTCTAACCTCTTCAGTACTTTCCTTCTGGTCTTCATGAACTTCTCCCCCTTTGTGATGAATGGCCCTTGTCCCATGGCCTCCAGATGTTTGGACGGGATTTGAGAGTGGATGGCACGGGACCAAGACCAAAAGCATCATGGGTTCTTATGGTGTTCTTGAGTCTTGAGGCTTCTTTGTGCAATTGTGTTCTTAACATTCATCAGTTCAAACTGTGCTCATATAGTGGCAACTCAAGCTCCAACTAGTTGGGTCGTGTGGAAAGTGAGCAAAAGCAGACTCTCCAAAGAATCCTGGAGATGCCTATGGAAGCGAAAAGGCACGACCTCCCGACAACAAAAAGGTACCCACATGATCCAGTTTCAATCCTACAAGTCCTACAATCCAAGATTTCAGGTACTTCTACAGGCAGGTTTCTTCGTTTCGTTATGCGAGGCCCAGAACCGACAAGAAGGGGCTGCGCACCACCTACACCTTCTTGCTGCTCGATTGGTCGAATTGGGGCCATGCCTGTGAAAAGGTGTTCATGGAGTCCGCTCGAGGGTGAGAGGCACCAACACCACACTATGTTGCCCCCCAAAAAAGACACATTTGATATCATTAGGTCACGATGGAGCTGTCAATTTCGAGTTTTGCAATTTCTGCAGTTTGCAGGAGATCAGAAGTGAGTGAAATGTTCTAAACCCTGAAGAAACCCTTGGAAGTGAATCAATTTGGCTCTGTAGCTTGGGAACCGCGTTTGGAGGGTGGATTTGTTTGGAGATTTCTGTTGTGGAGAAAACAAGACCTCAAATAGCCTACTCTGCATCTCACCTGAAGCATCACAAAATCAATCATTACTAGGTCAATTTGTCAGCCCCCTTTTCTTTAATGGCACAGCCCCAGGGTCCATGCAATGAAGACCTCGCTGACAACCTGGGGAGTGACGCCCAAAACATGTTGAATATAAGATGCAATCGCTCAGCAGTCGTCCAGAGACCACAGCCTCCACAAAGAAGATGTATGCAACACCTGTGAGTCACAGAACTCTCAGAAACGCCTCACCCAACTAACAGGCACTGTGCTCATTAAACAAACAAAACATCCACTCTCGCTCGCTGGAGGTTGTACTTGAGTGATTGCTCTTCTGGAGGCGTACTTCTGGGGCTCTTCGGGTCGTGGAGGGAAAAGACTTCGTGGAGGTCGTGGGCGACACCGTCTTGAAAGTCTTGAACTGGACTAGAGATCAGGACTTTGTTTATAGTTGAAGAAGTAGATGGAAGTAGAACTCTTTGACAAGAAAGTTTCTTGCCACATAGAAGGATGAAGGATGAATGGGTGAAGACTTGAGGTTTCAAACCGTGCGTGGTTGTAGTTTGAGGTTTCAAAACTACTAACCTAATCAGCTCCATTCACCCACACTCTCCGATCTGCTCTAACTCCACGTTCAGCTGATCCGAGGGGGTGAAGTGAGTGAGAAGCCTCCAGGAGCACGCATCCAAAGACTTGCCAGGACCCCCAGGTATATAGTTAAGGGGTATCCATTTACCACCCCCCTCCCGTGGTGGTGGTTTGCTGCAGTTCATTCGACTCTGAAGGTGAGACAACCTTCTTGGAAGCCCTGGAGAGTGACAGAGAGCCCTTTGGAAGGATGAGACGTCGACTGTAGGACTGTTGGAGGAAGAAAGGCATCCGCAGCAACACGGAGTACAGGTTGTTTAAGCAAGAACTTGGTGCGGTTGCATGGTGCTGCTGAATTGATTTCATCATATACGATCACATACGAACGTACGGAGAAGATCTCAAAACTGTGAATGCGCGGCTGGCCGCGACGGTCTCCGCTTTCTCTGAGACGGGCGATGAACACGAAAGCTGGCGAACACGATGGAACCACGAAAAACGAGCCTGCGACGACGCCGGCGACCTCGCTGTTAAGAAGCCATCGCCTTGCTGTTGAGAGCTTCGAGTGTTTTCACACACTGTTGAAGGAGGTGGAGAAAATGATTGTGTAAAACAAAATCACCCAAAAACGGTCTTGAAGACCGCTTGAGCCACTTGAGCCAATGTTTGTTGGGTGACATGTATGTATGTGGTTGTGGTTTGAGCAGAACCCCTACCTTTTGCAGGTAGGTATATATGTTGGATATTAACAACTGCGGAACATGTGCCAAGCATATGTGGAAGCATAGGGACCAACCATGACGATGTAGTTGATGCTTTGCTGGGTTGCTGCTCCTGAAATGTTAGGGATACCAGGGAATCCAAACACACTGCATTTGTAGAGGGGTGAGTAAGCTGAATCCTATCAAACAGATAGATATACCTGTCTAGACCGGCGACTTTCCAAGTGGAAGACCATAGTAGATGGAATAGTGAACGACCAAAAAAATAAGATGATTAAGGCACGGCCATAGGCGTGGCTAAAGAATGATTTGTGCAAAAGCTTGGCAGCTTATCGAACAGGTATGGCCAAGCAAGTTTTGTTGGATTTCAGCAATTCTGTGTCTTCAACACCAGATTTATCAAGTGGAAGCACTAAAAGGGTCTAACAGGTTTAATTTTGGGTTGACCTTCCCGTTTCTTTCTGTCATGCATCACAGACCCTCCTCATGGTGCGACCCTCCTAAATGCTGGAAGTTCAACATCTCCGGCTTTGTCAGGATCTTAGACCATGGCCCGGCCTCATACGTCAAATGGATATTGGCATATTGGTTGAACATCACCGAGGCCGTCCCCCTGGTGTTTGGTTCGGATTCTTACCGGTGAAAACCATGTGATGGGCCACCGGTGCGCCGTATCAGGTTGGCTGCGTCGGGTGGCGTGATGCCCGGGGAACGACGCACGCTGGCGAGGGTGAGTCCACGGCGGAACCGGCTGCTGCTGTGGCTCGGCGGAACGGCGAAGCTGGAAGAGGTAATGAATTTCTCACGTGAGAAAACAATCATTCAATCCGGGTGGCAGATGTTTGGTTGCACCCTATTTATTGGTCATGTGCAGTTTTTTGGTGTTTGGAGGATGGTAGGCGACTGGGGCTTTTGGATGATGAAGTGGGACTTGCGGCTGAAGACCGACGATTTGCCGCAACTGACTGAAGATGGTGGTGAGAGAATGGCATCAGATAAGGTCGGGGTCCAGATCGCCAAACCAGGATTGTGGAGTACCGTTGAACCTTCCTGAAGATGAAAGGGAAGATCTTGCGAAAGCTACTTGGAGGTGGGTGAATCTAATTAATTGAACCTTTGAAGCCAACCAAGATCCAATTTCGAACAGATCCAACAGATACAACTTGATGAGTAGTTCACCGTGAAACCCATAGCCCCCAAAGCTTCTCAGTGGATGAATGAACGTGAATGGACAGCCCCCCCGCTCTTTGGTTCCAAAAGGCCCATGGTTCAAGGCTCATGTAGTGACCCCTTCCTCCAGACACCCACACAGCCACACTCAGCCACACCCACGCACGCTGTCCACACCTCGCAGGATGCCTCACGCTTGCCCGCACTTGGCAGCGCCCATCATCCACGCCCCAAAGGTCTTGGTGCGCGGCGAGGTGGTGTGGAGAGGGTTTTGACTTGGTGAGTCGGTGAGCTGAATTTGAAGTACCCGGAAACACTTGTACAAGGCCTTTGGATGAGTTTTGTTCGATGTTTTCCGGGTGTTGTTGTTGAAACTTTAAGTTGAAGTTGAAGAAGTCGAATAAGTTGAAGAAATTGGTTCTGTTGTTGTTGTTCTTGTTGTTGTTGTATCCTCAGAAGACCAAAACCATCCAAAACCCTGCTTGGCTGCCCCATTCTTCGACCTGTGGCCGAGCACGGCTTCGGCGGTCTTCAGCCGGATCTTCCAACCAATATCCTCCCATTCTTCCAACCAACATGAACAGTTGATCCACAGGTTGGGAGTACAGTAGCTAGATCCACAGGTGGAGTAGCTAGATGAACAGTAGCTAGATTCTCTCAGCCCTGCCCCGAATGCAGCTGCATGCTCCACCAGGTGCTGCCGCCGACCTGCATGCCGCACTCCAGCGCGGTGACCGTTGCGCCAGAGCCGGTACAGCAGGACGCATCGTCCCAGCTGGTGGAGCTCGGCGATGGTGTGCACAGCTGCTGGCTAGATGAAAAGATCGATTTCGAGCGGAGGACAAACGTGAGATGTGTGTGGTTTTCAGCACATATTGGGTGAGGGGCAGGGGGCTTGGGCCTCGCCAAAAGTAGGCAGAAGAATCGAGTGTATGAAATTGCCCGGAAAGGACATCCCAAAGTTTGCACGGTATAGCACCCTTGTTCACTTAATGCCACCATGCATCCAAGGGTCGCCAAAGGTTAGTGACCAAACATGTTAAAGGTAGTTGGGCTTTCTACTTTCTAGGGTTGGATGTCCCACTAGTGTGGACGCATGTTTTGCAGGGAAACAACGCTAATGGACCCGTAGGATTTTTACAGCAGCTTTTGTCAGACTGTCAGACCCTTTGGCAGTTTTAGTCTTACAAACTCCAGCATGCCCTCGCACTACTACTGAGTTTGTTCATTCCTTAGGCAGCCTGGTGCCTTAGCCTTATACCCTGCAGGGTGGCCGAAGAAAACCCCCCGAGGCCTGGCATTCCCAAACCGCGAGTCCGAAACTGGATCCTGCAGGCGACTGGGTGAACGTGCGACGGGTCGCGTCTGGCAGGTGGCGTGCTTGGCGGAGAAAGCCAAGGGTGCAAGCCAGTGTAGGGCGCAGGCCGGTGTAGGGAATAAAATTACATGAAATTGCATGAAATTGCTATATAGATACAGTGATACATTAATTATACCGATGTAATGATTAGTAATGATTGATACCTATATATATATATATTGCAAATCGTAGCACAGATGAGAAGGTACATAGTGTCCCAGTAATGTCCCACTGCGACCGCCACTGAAGAGAAACAATGAAAACACAACGCCACCGATCCGACATAAATAATATACCGATCCAACGAGACTGAGCAACAGACAGAATACAAATAAAATGCACAACAATCCAATGGTGATTGAGATGATTCAAAGATCATACCAACAAAAAACAAAGGCATCTCAACACAATTTCAATCACCCTCAAAAGGCTCCAAAAATCTAAAGCCCCAAAACCATCTAACATGCAGTCCAATCTTTTCTCACTGAGGCCCGGCAGGTGTTGTCGGGACAACGGCCTTTGCCAGTGGGGCAAGCAGTGTTGATGCACTTTGGACGGCACAAAGCATTTGGATGCGATGAGATTGTGTGGCAAACATCAAATCCAGAAACTGCAGGTTTTTTGGTCTATTTGCCCTTCGCAAAGGTGGCTTTTTTTTGTGCCGCCGAAGTATGTTTGAGCAACCATTGTTGCAGGAACCGTTTTTTTTTCCCATGTGAGTGTTGTTTTTTCATCAGCGGGTGACACCAACAAAAACAGCTTTCATCCGGTTGGCAGAGAGGTTCGTTTGACCTTCAAGAAGCTTGGCTCTTGGAAGCTGGTCTTCAGATGTCTTCAGGACCCAATGTTGCTATTCTGTGTGCAAGGATATGGGGGTGACTATACTTGAGTTTATTTGAGTGGTAGTGACTAAGATCCAAGTGAATGACACAACAAGATCCCTGTAATCTTAGGGATTCTTAGGGTGTTAGTCGGTCAAGGATTATCACGATTTTTGAGAACGCCCGAGAACGTCCTGCAACCTAACCACCATTATCCACTGGGATATGGTCAACGGAAATTGCTGTGTGTTGGTGGACGAGGCCAGTGAGGGTGCCAGAGTAGCAATAGACATAGAGTTTGTTGTGTTCATCCATTGCAAGGTCACAGCTGTCGCAACAGCAACGCAGCTAGATAATGCCAACCAGTACCCAAAACAGTGAACAAAGGATGCTTCTTCAGTTTGTTCCGTGTTTTGTTGTCGAAATGATATACTTTCACTGATTCGACTCGTAGGGAATGAGGAAATGAGCCCCCAGAAGAGATTCCTTTGGATCCATTGCCTCATTCCGGACTCATTCCGTACAAAGCACAAAGCACAAGTAAGTGATGCAAAGCTTTCACCCCCAGAAACATGTTTCTTTTCGTTTCGGCAACCGTGAGCCTCAGTCCGTCTTCGGTCCGTCCAAACCAGTGCGAGCTTTGCGAGATTCTGCGAGCTCCTTGCACCACTCCGCGAGCTCCCCCAGGTGGACACGGAGCTTTGCGCTTTTCTTCAAAGGCGTCAAGGACGGAATCGTGTTTGGTGCCGAAAAACCACGCGATGCCCCAGCTGTCAGACATACAGAGTCCACGGAGTCAGGCAGGGCTCGATTGGCTGGGAGAAGTAAAGCTGAAAGCTCGCAAAGTCTAGACTCAGACCAAGGACCCTCCAAAGCGCACGTTGTTTGGGGACGGCAGGTAGTTTCCGGAATCTTATGGGCACCGGACTTGTCAGCCGCTCAGCAGGAAACCCCTGTAGGGCGGTAGATGTTCAACTTGTTTGCCTTCACTGATGCCTCCGAAAGCTGCATGAGAGCGGCCAAGGCCAGACAACTGAAGCTCCAGAAAGGCAATGCAAACCATGATAAACCTAGGCGTGTGCAAAGATAACAACTGATCATTCCTTTTTTGAATGGGGGGCAACAGTCCCAAGCATGACCGACATTGAAGTTCATTTTTTTGAAATAAGATATTTGATCTTTGTCTTGACAGATGTCTGATCCAAGTTGACAGGGGTGAGACTGTTGACCAGCTGAGTGATGCGTTTGTTTTTGCCAAGTGTTCCCACATTCCCACAACGTCTCATGAGGATTGCCCCATTTGCTACAACGTGATCCAACTCACCACGCAGACCATTCCGAGAAAGGCTGGGATCCGGATCCGGCGGTGTTGGGTTCGTGTAGTTGGCTGCGAAAAGGAGGTAGGGGCAACGAAGCAAAAGCACCTGGGGTGTCGTGATTGTTCCGCACCAGTTGGCTTTAAGGACACCATGTGTTTTTTCCTTTAAACTTGGTGTCAAATGGAAAATCTACCGGGCCAGGGTGCGTTGGTCCGAGTTTGCAAGTTTGCTAAGAAGTCTACTGTCTACTGTTGGAGTTCCTGTTGAGGGAAGAATTATCCGAGACCAAGCCGGCAGAATTGCAAAGATTTCTCAGGAAAGCATCAGTTCGGACGATGAACAACTGGGTGAGTCTTGTCTTCCAGAGAACTGGTTCCATCAGTGGGTGGGAAGTGTTGAACCCCGGTGCGCTTGGTCGAACCCTGGTCACTCCTCACCGACCCAGCTCAGGACAGGATAGGATATTCGAGTTTATAGCTGTAAGGGTCGGTCGACAGACAGGTGTTCGGTGAAGTCTCAGACGGCTTTGGATCCCTCATTTGGGTGGCAAAAAGAGGCACGAAGACGAAGAGACACGAGGCATCAAGAAGATTCAAGAAGCACATATGGTTGGGTCTGTCCGAAGTTACCTGTAACAGTCAGTAAACAAAATTATCACTATTTTCGAGCAAGGTCTTTACCAACCATCATCATCCACTGTTACTGGTAATAGGATAGACCCAACACATGGGAAACGGTATGGCACCAAGTCATCAAGCAAAACAGTTATGTGCGAAGGTTATTCTTCTTCGGTTTCTCACAGGTTGCCATCATCTCTTCAAGTCCTCTTGAAGCGGGTCCCTGACTCCGGCGGAGCCATTCGGGTGGTGATTTGACGCTCTTGGTGCGTTGGTCCAGGGTCTGACTAAACGCTTCGACAGGTGGGAGAGCTCACCAGTCGTAAGAAAACAATATCACCTGTATGAGTATGACCTCCAACCATTGTGACACTTTGGTTGAAGCTATATGCAGATTTCAGAGGATTTTCCAGAAGCCAGGAGTAGCCAGGAGCCACATTTGGACGCTTTCCGGTCAACGATGCTCAAAATGATTCTAAAGGACTTGTGTCAAACCGCTATCCCCTATCCAAGCCTGAAACCATGAGATTTGATTGTGCTGCGAGGCTTGCCCCACCTGCAAGAACAAGTTTCACAATGAGCCTGCTGTCTGCAGAGTCTCGCAGAGGGTGGATAGAGTCAGACTTTGGGTCACAGGGGCCTTAGGACCTTGGGGGCTCAAAGTGAACGAGGCGTGCTTCGAAGGTACTGTAAGTAACGTATTGACAAGCATATTAGTCCTTTTGCCCAGCTTGCAAACCTCTTAGACCCAGCAGCTTTTGTCCGTTCGGCCTATGATCACCAAGCTTCAGGAGCTTCTGGAGCACTTGGTCAACGACTGAACAAGGGTTAAAAGGCCAACTGAAGTTGATGAACAACAAGAGCTGCCTCATGAAATCAATGACGATCCAAAGGAACAGACAAGTTAGCTTCAATGCAAATATTTGCCTTTAGGGCAGATGGAGGCTCAAGAACACTGATTCTTCGAGCGATGACGACAAAGAAACAAGCCAAGCGATGATGACATCGCACTCCTTCCGAATGAATCGGTGAGTGAAAGGAAGCAATATGAAGGACCTTGAACCAGCGGCAGCAATCAATGCCTGCATCGCCCTAGGGTTACATCTGCCAGCGCCCCAGCTTCTTCGCTCCAAGAAGATTTTCCGACGAGACAACCCCACCTGAGCTTCCAAGAATCAGCCAGGCACAAGCCATGAACAGTTACATGAGGTCTCCACTGATGACATGAGGAGTTCCTTCGATTTCATCCTGTCAGCTTCGCACGGAATGCACCGTGCTTCTGTGGAAGGGGATGAAAAAGTGATTGACACTCACCAAGTCCGACTTTTCTGTGAATGTTTGCTCTTACATCGCCGTCCTGTTTTTTTCCACCCAGTTCAAAGGTGCACGGCACCACAACAAGAGCGCATAATTTTCTGAATGCACCATGAATGTACTAATGCACAATTCGAATATCGAGGAATCTCTTTCCGAGATTGTTCGACTCGTTGTCTGTGTTTGAGGTTTCAACTTCGGGGTAAGGCGCACCCCCTCAGGCCTTGCGAATGGCCTTGCACAGCACAGCGTCTCACCTGTTCACCGGTGGTGCTGTGATCACCCGTGTGGCCGGACGTTGGGCCGCCGCCGTTGGGGGTCGTCCATGTGGTCGTCTTCCCGAAACGTGGTCGTCCGAGGGAGCGAACGTGATGCAGCTGGTAGTCAGTTAGGGCAAGGTCTAACACAGTCTTAGGCTATGAACACAGTCAGTTAGGTCAGAGACTTAGGCTATGCCGTGCCACTCGTCTTAGGGCATGAACATCAAGACGAGTGGCACGGCATAGCCTAAGTCTCTGAGTCTCTCACAGTCACCCACGGCGTGGTGTATCACAGTCACCGTTTGGCGTTTTCGATTTGAGTCGAAGCGTGCTG